ATGCAAATGTATGCATGGTGTAATGATGTTTCTCAAAATAAATGAGATTTATATTGTATGTATATGTTATGTATGTTATATGATGCATGAGTGTGACATGTTGTCGAAGCATATCCTTGACAGATGTTGGGGAGCTTTGAGAAGTTAAATCTCGGACTGCTGTTGGGGATAAAAAGTATGTCTATCTTCATACTTTGTTAACAATGCTTCTATTGGGGATTCTTGCTTTGTTGAGAAGAAACTTCGCTAAGGAATATTGACTTGCTTAAGAAGACTCTATGGAGAGTGTTGATTTCTGCATGGGAACCAGAATTCAAGAGTTTTAGTCGTCCATTACTCTGCTGAGGAATTATCTCTTGAAAGTTAGCTCTTATCTGGTCGGATTCATAATAACTTGCTAAGGATAAAGAAGTTAATTGTTATCTGGCCAGATTCCAGGCTTCGCAGCAACTCGCTGGGATAGTGGCAAACTCTACTAGGGAAGAGGAGTTTTCTTAGTGATTTGTAAAAATCAAAGTGTTATCTGGTTGGGTCCAGGTTTCAGCAACTCGAATTGTTAACTGATTGGATCCAGGTTTTGCAGTAGATGGAGAAGTTAAGTTACTATCTGGTTGGGTCTAGGCTCTAGCAAGTTGAAATTAAGGTTTACTGTTATCCGGTCGGGTCCAGTCTTCAGCAATTTGAACTTGAGATCAACTGTTATCTGGTCGGGTCTAAGTTTTAGTAACTCGAACTGTTAACTGGTCGGGTCCAGGCTCTGGAGTTGGAGGAGTTAAACTAATATCTGGTCGAGTCCAAGCTTTAGCAACTAAATTTGAGATTCCCTACTATCTGGTCGGGTCCAGGTTTCAGAAATTGGAGTTGTTATCTGGTCGAGTCCAGGCTTCAGAATTTTTAACTGGTATCTGGTCGGGTCCAGGCTTGAACTGTTGACTAGTCGGGGTACAGGCTTAAACAATTTAAGAATTTAAACTAATATCTAGTCAGGTTCAGGCTTTAGTAACTAAGTTTGAGATTCACTATTATCTGGTCGGGTCCAGTCTTCACAGTAAGTTGAGAGTAGGATGAAGTTGAACTAGTTTCTGGTCGGGTCTAGGATTTGTAGTAACCTACTTGAAAGGATGAAGTTGAGTGTTATCTGGTCGGGTTCCAGACTTTACAGCAACTTTCGTAGGTAACAATGACTCTGTTGACGACTTCATTGGGGACTAGGGGTTGCGGTCCCTTGATTTGTAATAGTCTGTGAGGAAAACTCAAACTGGGGAATCTGTAGTTTGTTGGGGAAATAAACCCTGTTGAAGAGGATATTTGACGAACTGCTGGGGAGGATATTTTTTTAGGAAGAATTCCATAAGGCTTCCTTTTAAGACCAACTCAGCTGGGGAGAGGATTTTCCTGAGATTGAAACTCTGGCTGAGGATTTTATGAATCCAAATTTGTGGGGATAATGATATTGAAATAATTATGTGGGGATATCTCAAATGCATTTAAGGAGATGCTTGTCACTGTTGTTGCACCCCAAAATTTGCCCTCCTAATTGCACTTTTATGGCTTAGACTTTTTGCATTCATCTGCATCATTCCAATGGGTCATGTGCATAGCACGCTTTTTCATAAAATAGATCACCTGAGGCCCAAAAGACCAATAGTTAGGGATCTAGGGTTTACAGCTGGTTTGAGGTGTATGTGTTGAATAAGTCTGATTATCCAGGATCTTCTCAGTGTACAAGGTTTTGGAATTAGGGTTTTGTTTCAATGTTCAGCTTGAATTTCTTCCCCATCAAGCTACAAGGCTATTATCTTTTGCTGAACAATAGGTTGCAGGGTATTCCTGTCAATAACTTAAGGTTGTGATCTCGCGTACATGATCTTTGATTCAAAACACCTCATTCTATCATTGTGCTTATCATTTGGCCAAGGTTTTGTCAATACTAGAGGTGTATTAAGATTTCTCTAAAGGGTCAAGATCTGTTATCAATCCAAGACGCATATGATGCTTGCGTTATAGGTTGTTGACTATGTCATTGTTGCATTGAGTTCATCTATCCATAAGTTAATCAATTAGGGTTGGGTACGTCATGATTCAAGATATTTTGTAGGGTAAATTTGGTTGCTTGACGGTCAAGGCATTACGAATAATTGGTACAAGCTATTGTTTGGATATTTGTGCAAGAACTTTGGTTTCAAACATGGATTAAGGTTCAACTTGATAAAAAATGAAATAGCATGCCCGAAGGTTTAGTTCGTAAATTCTTGCGGAAGAAGATGGAACATGAATATAAGTTGAGATTAAAGTACATGGTATCAAGTAAATCTCTTCATGATTCAAGTTGTTATTTTCAAGATTATTCCACATCATTTTTCATCCCAAGGTAAAAGATAAAAAGATTCATTTAATAACATTCGAGTGTTTATCATGGTTGTCTCAAGTTCATTCAAGTATCCATTCAAGCTCAAACTGAATGAGAAAAAATGTTATGAATAATTGGAAATTTGTCATACAAGAATTTATAAAGTTTTGTTCATTACAAATTCAAGTCATTACACTGAAGTTACAAAAGACAAATCACTCATCATGGAAGTATCATGGATTAAATTTGAGATCGGATGGGTAAAATTCCTTGATTTGAATAAAGTGTGATCAAGGCCTCCATTTACCAAAAGCTAAGAAGCTTAAAGAATGTTTCGAAATAGCGTAATTCAAGAGGATCCATCTTGCAAAAGCTCGTAAATAGTAGACATGGAATTTTGAATTGTAGCAAGTTTCAGCATATTCAAGTTCTACCAGTACATCTCATTCAAGCTTCTGCTTTGACTACATAATTCTCAAAATATACAAAAGTCTTAAATTTTCTACAAACTATAAGAAGGCGCGGTATAAATTCTCAATACACAAATCACACAATTACTACCGGCTACAAGGAAGAAAAGCTACAAATTTACAAAAGAAATCAAATTATTACAAGTCGGAACTATTCCCATCCATGGTCATTCAAATTATTCAAATTACTCAAGTTCAATCATTCGAGCGTCTTTCATTCACTCATGTTACAGTACATGTCATTTCAAGATTACAAAACAAAGTTACAAAGGTCCAAATAAACTTTTACAAAAAAAAAGAGGAAAACACCGATTCTCGTGATCTTCAACCTCGAACCGAATCCATAGAACCATCCTTCATTTCTTGGTTTTTTCTACTGCACCTTCTATGACTGAAGAAGAGATAAACGCTCTTCCAGTTCACAAACACAAGGTTTATGTTCTCCAAAAAAGTAGTTCTTCAATGCCACAAGCACCTTCCATCATCTTCTGTTGAGAAAACACAGGATAATTCAAATGCAGTTCACAAACACAAAAGCCTTGGATGATGAGCTCACCTGCAGTGTATGCTTGGAGCAGGTTAATGTTGGAGATGTACTTTGTAGCTTGCCCTGCCTGCATCAGTTTCATGCTAATTGCATTGATCCTTGGTCGCGGCAACAAGGAACGTGCCCTGTTTGCAAATTACGAGCAGGATCTGGGTGGAATGACGTTGGGTATGATGATATCACAGACATGGTTTGAATACCTGTCTAATTTTGAGTTTGTGTTCATAATATACTGTAACTGTATCCTAACCACCTAACAACTCTCTAAACAACCCTGCAATAAAACAGTGTACTAATCTAACAGAATTCCCAACAGTGATAATAGAATAACAAAACTCCTAACAAACTTCTAACTTCCTAATTAACATCACCCAAGGGATCCTAACAACCTGTAAATAGTACAACTGCCAAACATAAATTCATAATTCCAAACAAACTTTTCTAACTACTTTCTAACAGATTTACTAACTTCCTAATTGCTAACAAAATCCATAACCAACTCTCGGCCCTCTATATAATAGAAATTCAGAGACTACAAATAAGGGGATATCATCATTCAATTCTGGGCCATTTTACAGTTATTCAAGGACACAGAAAATTTCAAAAAAAAAATCAGAAAAAGTTAGAGAAAAATTTACCTCTTTCATGATTCATTCTTCAGCATTCTGGAAGAATCACCACAAAAAAAATCAGAATCATCTCTCTACTCTCTTTTCAACTGAATCATCATCACATACCCCTCCAATCTCTGAATTTCTCTTCATCTCCCTCAAGGCAACTTCAATCTTCATGACCATACCTTCAAACGGCAACTCCTCTGTAACGGTTTTCTCTCAACTTTCTGCAACCGAATCATAACCAGAATCTTCATCTTCAACCTATTAGCATCAGCATCCTTTCAAGATTCTTCAATTCTGCAGTAACAACAAAGACTGTGTCATTCAATAACAACGCGACAACAACCATTTAAACTGAAGGTCGAAAAGAGAAGAGGGATAGCAAGAAGACAAGACAACTGAGACAAAAAGAGAAGGTTACCTCTACTTTCTCTCTACTTCGTCTCCACCAATCATCACTCCCTTCAATCTTCTGTTTCTCCAACGGCACCGCTGCAAACCTTCGCATGATAACATCAAATGCACATCAACAGAACTCATTCTTTCATCTTCAACAATCTTCATCTCATAACCTTGACACTCCAACCCCTACATCAATCCTACATCACCATCTTCCATATCTCAACCTATGTTCTACTCCCTTCATCAATAATCAATAATTCACACACAACTCAGTTATGATTCTACATAAGTTATACAAGAAAACTCAGGAAAATAACTCATTCACAAGATGCGATATAGGTAACAAACTCACCATACAAAAATTTGATTCCCCTCTGTCTTCAACCTCTTCTTCCTCCATCATCAATCTATCTTCAACCTTCATCACTATTTCTTCTGCAATTTTATGGTTACCATCTGCATTCTTCATTCTTCTGTGAAAACAACCGAAACAAAGTCATTTCCCAAACTTCTAAACAATCCTCGCTATCACAATTCCTCATCAACACATCTCCAATCTGACACCAATAATAAATCACACGTCATAGAAACGAATTCGAAGAAAAATACGATACCTAAGAAATCGAAGAAGAAGAAGTGGTTTTCAGAAACGGAAAAGACGAATGCTGAAAGATACCTTTGAATTCCAAAGACGAAATTGAGGTGTAGACATGGTCAAATTGCGGCTTCGAAATCCAAAAGTTAAGATGTATTGAAACCAAAGCTGAGAGGCGTGCAATACTCTTCTGATCGGTGTAAACTTGTGCCCCCATACGTGAAACGAACAAAGCCACCTCTATCTCCTTCGATCTCCGCTTCAAACTCCAATGAAAATCATTACCTTCGTTGCTTCGATCTTCTTCAACATGTTCTCTTTCATGCAAGCGGCGGCTCATCATCTCCCTTCGCCCTTGTTTCAGCTCGACGTTACAATCTTCACCTCGACTACATTTCCGATCCAACTTCGACGGTGCAGCTCCTTCTATTGACGGGATGTTGCAGAATAATTTAGAGGGAGTTGAAGTTGTTGAAGGAGGTTGAAGAAGGTTGAAGATGAAGAAATGATAACAATCACAGCGGAGGTCATTGCGAAGAAGACAACGGAGATCGCCGTTGATAGGGGTATCGCGCCGCCGTTGACGAACGAAGAGGACAACTCCTCTAACCCTAAACTCACGTTCTAATTCCCTTTCAAATTTTCTTTTTTTTTTCTTTTTCTTTTTTTTTATTTATTTCTAGTAAAAAAAATAATTAAAAAAAAAACAAAAACATAAGCTTGAATTGTTGTTGATAGTCACCGGGCTAGACTGCATTGCTTTGAGCCCATATGCATTTTTGGTAGAATTGCCTTGCTAGACAAAACTGATATTGGACCATTTTTTATGGGCCTAGCACCCTGATGTCAATACTACACCCCTTGTCCCTATAATCTTTAAGATTTTATTTTTGCATATAATTTTGTCCATTTCTTTTTATTCTAAAACCCATAAAAACTTGTTAGTTTTTTAATTTAGGAATTAATTCTTATTTGTTTGGTAGAATTTTCTCTATAAAAAATAATAATAATAAAAAGTGGTAGTATATAATATAATTTTTCTAGAATTTCTTTTTTAGAATTTTAATTAGAATTTTCTATTAGTGTTTATGTTTAGTAACCATTTTCGTTGCCATTTTTAGTCATGATCTTTGTGATAGTATTGATGCAATTTTTGCAATATGGAATGCTTGGAGATTAATTCTATGAGCACTCATGCGGAGCAGCTTTCAGTAGAGTTTTCTTATCACTTGTGTGGCTTTGAAAAGGAAACGGACCTTCTCCGTTCGGTATCATCGTGGCCTTATTTTATCCCTCGTTTCTCACTTTATTGCATTTCTTTATCGCAAACCATATGCATGCTAACATTAGGTAGAATTCCTTCAAAATTCTAACTTTAGGTCTAATACACAATAACATTAGGTTTAGAAATAGGCTAGTCCCCCTTTGACTTTTCTTTCCCTTTTTGCATACGCATCTAAAACAAAAACTTCTTTCTCTTTCAAAATTCAAAACACTTTAAATTTGCTGACTAGAATCATATCTTTGTTAAGTATGTGAGACGATAAGCGGGTCTTTTCTCGACCTTATTGTTCTCTTATTCTAAGCTTCGGTGTGGTTCAAGTCTCAAAGACTCATTTCATGAATAAGTAGAGACATGGCTATAATCTCTCTCTCTCTTGAGATTAACTAGCTATTATCTACAAGCAAAAACACCAACCAATACAAACTCTTGTTGCCTTCGGGCCCTTCCTTTAAAACTCTTTTCAAAAGAGCGTATTAGTTCACTTCTGTGCTGACGCGTAAATCTCCAAAGGTCGAGTTGCGGCAGAAGGCGAAATTACTATCGTTCATTCAAAAACAAACAAGTTCAAACCTTTTTTGTGCGTCCAGGCACATTTCTTTCCAAACTTTTCAAAAGAGCATATTAATTCACTTTTGTGCTGACGCGTAAATCTTCAAAGGTCGAGTTGCGGCAGAAGACGAGATTAATACTGTTCATTAAAGAAAATACAAACAAACAAAAACATAAGTCGAACTATGGCTGCTCTAATTCCTTAAAAGGGATACGTAGGCATCGGGGTAGGGCCCGAACGAGCACAACTTTTATTTTCCCTACATTCTTCTCTCTTTTCTTTTACATGCATTCTCCCCTTAGCAATAATAAACCGTAAGCATAGATTAAACACACCCATAAGATAGACAACAAGAGTGGATACCGTAGGGTACTACAGGCGTGTGGGGTGCTAATACCTTCCCCTCGCGTAACAGACTCCCTTACCCTTATCTCTTGGTCGTTCGACCTTGATTTCACCCTTTTCAGGTTTACTCGATGTTTACCTTTCCCTTCCCGTGGGATAAAAGACGTTCGATGGTGACTTCATTATTTGATGATTTTCAGCCGGTTGTTTCCGCTGACGACTTCACTGGGGATAGGTCGACCAAATGCTGGTCCATCTCGGAGTCGCTCCTAGCTCTTGCTTTCTTTTCTTTGGGTGTTTATTTTTATGCTTTCAGTTTACTCATTGTACATGTTTATCTGAGCATAAGCTTGCATTGCATTTGATTGCTTTCCCTATTTGTCATCTATTATGCTGGACTCTGTTTTCCATGTTGGGTGGGGATGTTACTATTGAGGTAAAAGGCCCAGTACCCAGGCCAAAGTGCACTAGGACACTAGGAATAGAGTGGGGGCGTGACGGCTATAGGACGTGGTCCGATTAGTGCAGTCATGTCATATACCACGCGCGGATGAGGTTCAAATGAATTACTATCGGCACCCACGTTTGTGGGTAAGCCCATAGCACTTTCAGGCGAACCCGTGATTTTCGAGTTACCATTGTCTTACCCTGACCTAGTCTTCACCCGTGAGCGGGAAGGGAATTCTTATTACAGGTACAGTTGGTGACTATGTTCAAATGGTTACTCGTGCTCAGATGCTGACTATGTTCATATGGTTACTCATGTTCAGATAGAGACTATGATCAGACGGTGGTTATTGGTTCTAATGGTTATATTCTGGATTTCTGTTGGTGACTTTTTCAAATTCCATATTCTGTTGGTGACTTATTCAGATGCCATATCCTGTTGGGGACTGTATGGTTCTCAGATTTATTTTTTGAGATTCTGGACTTACTTACTTTGAAGTCCATTCAAGCCTTTGATCTTGGTATTCCCAGCATATTCAGAAATGCTCAACAGTACCTGATGTTCTTGAAGCCTTGATCTCATGCTACTTAGATCTACATAGTACTCGGCTCTTATATGTGCGGAAGCTATGTCGGACCTTTAATCTGATAATACTCATATGGTTCAGAACAACGCAACAATCATATTCGGAAATGATGGAACCTTAATCTTCTTTGATCTCATGTCTTTGCATACATAACATGGTTAACCACATGCTTAACATACATGTCCTGTGATTTCCAAGGAATCGTATTTGTAAGCCTTGTGCCAAAACTTTTCCATCTTACACTTACGTAAAATCAAAATCAAAGCATGTAAGTTCCTTGGAAATGACGGAACATGACATGGCATCCGCTCATGCATCCCATGTATATTCATGTATCCATAAAGGTACTCGAAGATTGGGGACTCTTTCTCAGACCATGTGTTCTCCTTAGAGGTTCAGTTTGATTCTTACTATCATGTGCTCAGAGATCAGTTAGGGAATAACTCTGTGTGGTATACATGCAAGCTTTGGCCCGTGGTCAGAAATTTCCTCAAGCAGGAAGATAATTGATTAAAAACTCGGATGAGCCAGGTCATGGAAGCTCTAATGACGATGTCAACAATCTTGCACCTACTGTCACAGTAAAGGTTCTCTCTTCTCCTCATCTTTTGGTAATTGCTTCCAACTATGGAGTGCTACGCAATCCTGAGTTCTTGAAACATCTCATCAGCAGATGGTTCCCATTTGCTGTGGGATCTTATATCAGTGTTTCATTCTTATTGACCAACGTCAGATGTGGTTGCCACACCAGGGCCTCAGACTTTTTAATCAGGGCCATCCTCCATAACTTTGTGTTCACTAATTTTTTCAACAATAGCCTGTCTTTATTCCCCAAGTGAATTCATGGGGAAATCTTTTAAGCCAAGACACAAGAACCCCGATGAGCATGCTAATGCGAGCCCAACGCATTACATCCTATTATTCCCAGCTCTTCCTAGCTCTGATCTTTGAGGTCTTCCTCCCACAAACGTCTCTTCTGATTACAATATGTATGCTAGATGCATCCCCTATTCTGGGGTACCCGGTTTTGATATTAAAGATCACAAAGGGGTTGAAATATAAAAACCCAGCACCTGTTTGGCGTCTCTTCCAAAGGTCCAAATTCCTTTTTGGCCAATTGCCACATTCTTTATCACCAGGTGGATGTCTCTTTTTGTTTTGATAGAAGACATACTGTATTAGTTTTTTGTGGCGTAGTATGTCTGATGGTGCAGTTTATGATTCGCTTGGTAAAGCATTCATTTTTTCTCCTAAAAGAATCTTCTACGCATATCATTCGGGGGCAACTGATTATTCAATTGAAGATGGTACATCATCTAGAGACAAGATCCAACACGAGATCAATCCGGAGACTGTGATGTCCAAATCTGGAATTCTCTCACTCCCCTCATGCATCTTCATGCATCCATAGAAGGTACTCAGAATAGGGAATTTTTCGGACTCAATATTTTCTCTTCAGAACTGCGAATCTTAACTTCTCACCGCTTCGTGATCAGATTCGAGTTACGAAACAACTTTGTAAAGAATTGGATGAGATGAAAAGAATAAGATGGGGCTGTTTATTGGGGATATGCAAGTATGGCCCGTGGTAGGAAATCCTTAAGGGAGAAAGGATAATCGGTGGAAGACTTATTTGAGTCGGGTATGGATGTTTTGAAGACAATGTCTGTTGTACCCCAAAATTTGCCCTCCCATATTCTTCAAAGTTTATCAAGAATCATCTTCAAATGGTTCAAGATTACTCAAGGGTTACACAGTTCAAATGCCTCCTAAGCCAGTCAAAATTAGGGTTTTGATTCTGTCAAGGAATATGAGGTTTTCAATGGTCCAATCAAGTCCCATAGGCCTATATACATTTTCAAGCATCTACATGTCAAGCCTCAAGGCTCACAACATCAAATTGCACAGTCAAAAGCCTTATTTGGTTCACAATCAACTATAGGGGCAAAATGGTCATTTCACAGTCAAAAGTCATAATTTTTGGTCAACATCTTATTTTGAGTCCACAATCATCATTTGATCAAGTCTTGATCATGATTCCACAAGCATGGCTCAAAAATCATCAAAGATGCAAAAGTTGCTATTTTTGGACAGCTGAAAAGTCAACTGTAACTTGACCAGGGCATAACTTTTTCATGGTTCATAAGAAAAATCCCATCCAATGCTCATTTTGAAGGGGATGACATTTCCTACAACTCATCTTCACATTCCGAGTCCAAGAAATGCTCTCACAAAAAGTTATCAATTTCTACATTATAGGTCAATTTCAAAAGTCAACAAAAATGCACTTTAAGTCAAAGACCATAACTTGAGATTGGTAAATCCAAATGACATGGGACCAAAGGCATTGGTTAGAGGACTTCAATACCTTTCCAAAATGTCCAAGAACATGTTCATATGATCAAAATTGAGCAAGATATGCATTGGAGAAGTTGGGAAATTTTTATGAATTTGCAAAAGTCAACTATCCTTAAAACTTCAATTTTTGACAAAAGGGCCCACTTTCTTCCACTTGATTCAGCCTTGTCATGCCACATACGTGTCCCATGATTAATTTCAAGAT